GCAGCTTAATGAGATCGGAGCTTTTGAGCGGCGCGCCGTTCACTGGATTCGTTCCGTGTTTCTTGATCCAGGGGAGAATGTTGGTGAGGTCGAAGATTGTGCCCGACGGGGTGCAAACCGGGTGCGAAAACGGCTGTAGTGAAAGGGAGCAGAAGTTGAAGGGAAGGCGCTTAAAGGCCGTATCTACTCCTCCTCGCTTTGCTCTGCCCACGCCGGCTCCAGCGCTAGCAGAGAATGCATCCTCCGACGCCCATTCAGAGTGTGTGATCTATACAAGTCGTTGGGTCAGTCCATGCGAGGTCCGATAAGCGATAGAGCGCAGAAAGGGAAGAACAAATCTTCAACGAAGGGAGTTCGTACATATAACTTATCGGTCCCTAAACAGGTGATTGAGTAGGTTAGCTTTGCATTTCGATATGCGGAAGAATCTTGCCGAACCAACCTTTTCCCATCCTGACGACAGAAGCTTTAGATGCCTGGTGCAGCAGCTCTCGCTTTTGCGATCCTGTCGCCGCGCCCAAGGCCTGGATAATGATGTATTGCCGTTTCCAGATCTAGCCGATTTCGGCTAGACTGTCCGCAGATGTCCCTCGTTCGGTAACCATTATACGGGGATGATACCAGTCACGGGATCGGCATCCCAAAGCCGAGCATTCGTTTATAGAGGTACAAGCTATGTATATGTTGCAAACTAGAAACCAAGGTAGACATGGCGTAAGGTCATATCAATTGCTAAACTACACTACACACTATCATACATACATAATGTAAGAAGCGCTCACAAAAGCGCCATCGTCACAATAAATCATGCCTTTTCCACCACTAAGCCACGCATTGATCGTGGGATATTCCTGTCTTCCAGTAACGCCCCACTGTATGGCTCATTTTGTTTACCTTCATGGTCATTGAATCATCATTAAGCATGTCCACCCCGTTCAAGGACTCATACGGGAGGGGGCTGGTAGCGCAATGGTACCACCCACCGGTTCCCAAAGTCGATCCCATGCCGCCGCCGACTACCATATTTTCTCCAGACTATCTGAGGAATGCCAATGTCGGCCACAGAGAGATTCCATGATAGTCCCTCCCCGGAGAGTAGCGCAGTGACAACCCCAGTTTTGGGAGCCCCGAGACAGACCACGGATTTCGAGTTGACGCATAGCCGGCCGCCTTCTACTGTAGTAACTTCGCCTATAAAATACGTTAGCACCGACGTCATGACAGGGTACAGTATCCGGCATACTCACCACTCATAGCAGACAGCCCCGAAGGCACGTCCACGGACAAAATCTCCAGGTTGCTCCGGTTGGCCCAAGATATCATCTCAAAGGCTGTGGCCTGGTCATCCGTGCGAAGGTCATCAAATGCTATGTGAATTCCGAACAAGGCGTCGACAACCAAGTCAGGCGCGAATTCCGATGTAGAGAGGCGGGTCGATAGGTCTTCCCACCGGTGTACTCGGCCGCCAATTTTCTTGAAGACATCCAGCTGCTTCCGACAACTCTCTAGCAACTCATTGTCGTGCTCGATGCCTAGCATACAGACCGTCACGCGGTGGCCTCGATTACGGAGATGGCGAGCCGCAGATACGGCACGTGCGCCAGTTCGATGATTGCCTGTGAGCACCAGCATCGTGGGCGCAGCGGCGTCGCTGGTAAGGAGTCCAACAGCAGCTTCCGCGATACCACGTCCCGTATTTTCCGTAATCATGTCCTCGGTCAGCCCCAGTTCGGCAACCGCAATCTGCTCAACCTCGAGGGTTTGCAATGGACTGACAGTTGGGCAGCTTCGATTGGTTGTGGTGAGCCGCAATGAGCCTCCAGGTACACCAGGGGCGCTTATCGGGGATGCTGAAACGGAAGTCTTATTGGGTCGAGGGCTGGTTGTGCGAGACGTGCTTAGCTGACTGCGCCCGAGGGAATTGATCTGCGGTGGCACCAACGGCTGGCCCAAAATGGCGCTTCCTTTGCGAGAGCTCGGTGCGCGGGACGTCCTCGACCGTTCCCGCCCAGAATAGGTGCCGCTGCTCAGTTTTGCATCGCTGGGTACCTGGTCGGTATCCTCGCTCTCGGTCTCCTCAGGGCTGTCAAGGACATTTTCCGTCCAATGCAGATTCTTCCCGCCATTTGTTCCAGGCTTTGGTACTTTCCTGTTGAAGCTAACCAGCCGATCTTCATCAGCGGTAGTGTCATCATTGCGAATCTCTTCAAACACCTTTCTCTTGTCGAACTTGGAAAGGTTGCTCTGGAAGTCGAACTCGCCCATCTCCTGAATATCCGTCGCATCCTCTGTAGCCCAGCCATTAGGGTCCTCCACATAATTCGATCTGTTATTCCTCTTCTTCCGGCGTTGTTTATTGAGTGACTTGTTCATCTGCGGATAAGACGGCTCGACGAAAGCAGTCTGACGCCAGCCTTTACTTCTTGGGTCCGTATTCGTCGCCCCATCGTGTTCATTGACTGCCTTTGGGGTCCTTGGTTGTCCAGTGCGACGACTAGCTTTCGCGGCGGACTGCGGCGTTGGTTGCGATGAAACAATGTTCTCCCTTCCAGCGGGGACAGGGCCACTTGGCACAGCGCTGCGACTTTCATTCGTGGTCTTTCCAACATCAAGTTCCAGGTTACTGAACGGTTCGTTGAGCACAGCTGCTTGGTCACGATGAGCCACTTGCGGGAATTGAAAGTTTTGAGAAGTGGACCGGCTAATGGAAGGGGCTGGAAGCTGTACCGGACCCGAGTCTGCACCCTGGCTAGATGGCGCAGAAGGTGGCTTCGAAAAGCTTAGAATCGCCGGGTCCACGAAGCTTTGCGATGCAGTTGGAGGCGGAGGTGCGGGGGCTATGTTTTGAGATCCCTGAGGCGGAGGCGGAGGCGGACGCTGTGAGATGCGCGGAGTCGAAGATCCCAAAGAAAGATCCGCGATGTCGGGCGCTTCAATTGAGTACGTAGGGAGCGGGTGTCCGATCCAGGAAAGTTTCACTGAATGAGAGAGTTAATGTTAGATCCTTGCAAAGTGGGGATAGTGGTGCTAGGCAGTGAGAGGGGGGGGGCAGAAGGCGTATACCTACCATTTCGGAGCATCAGACGTTGACCGATGACATTAGCCACTTCTCCCTGCACAGTTGCATTTGGTGGCGCTCGCAGCGTCACAAGCACATCGTAGCCGATAAATTCAGCCGCCATGATCGGCAGTCTGCACGAATACAACCGCTGTCCAAAGGGCCGGGGATAGAACACGCCACGGACCGGAAGGAGCCCCGACAAGGTCGCCAAAGGTGGATGTGGATTGGGGTCAGCTTGTGCTTGCTTGCTTGCTTGCTTGCTTCTTTGCTCTCGGCTCGGGCATCACGTGTGGCTGGGCTCTTATCGATAAGGGAGGCACGAGACCCGCTCGTTGTGGGGTTCGTGGTTCCTCACAAGTTTAGACTAGTCATCCTAGTTAACTAGATCCTGGAATAAACCCTACGTACTCTGTACTGCCATTGAATCATCCATCCATCTTTGACTGGATTATGTTCACTCCTTTCATTTGAGTTATCCATGGGTGCTGACTTCATGATTTCTTATTCATTCCTCAAATGCTGGCTCGATACGTCGATGTAGTATACATTCTTTGTTATTTCCCTGCATTCCCACTTCTACTCTTATAGTTCTTAGTCTTGATTCTTATTGTAAACTAATGCGTGTGAATTTTTGCTATTAACACTCTTGTGAAGCTGTGTTAGCTCAATTAATTGCCTCTCTGAATGAGATATATGTGACATATGTTCGGCTCCAATATATCTTGGTAGTATCTTACTACTATATATTCCTATTTCATATAGGATGATCCGATTAATCAATATAAAGATTATACTACTTAGTACTCGGAAGTATCTGTATTAGATCTGTATCATATGTTGGCCGAGGCAGGAAGTGATTGAGCGAAGATACCGTATCTACTATATTCTACTGTACAAATGATATTAAGTCAATAGATAGTCACACCGGACCACATCATAAGAATACACATGGGATGAAGGATAGATGATGTATTTCCCTCCTGGAAATGTGCAGATAATATAAGCAAATGGCATAAGAATGGTATACAATCCCATTTTACCCATATAAATGCTCTAAATAATCCTGCTCAAAATCATCCTCAGGATCACCGCCACCACCACCACCACCCGACTTCGACTTCTTCGAAGTCTTCATAACATCACTAATACTAACAAGCTTGGAATAAAAATCTGTAACCTTCGGGTGAACCATGACCTTGCGCGCCTCGAACCGCATAACCTGAAGACCAGCTTTCGAGGTCGCCCGACTCAGCGCAACATAGGCCTGACCCTTCTCAAACACACGGCCTAAATCAACCTTCACCCGCTGCAGCGTCTGGCCCTGCGCCTTATGGATGGACAAAGCCCAAGCCAAAATAAGCGGCACCTGTTGACGCTGCGCCTGCACCTCTCCGTTGGGAAGTTCGATCTTCCACGTCTCCGGCTGGCAGAGGAGATGGCGTTCCGTTCCGTCAGGCTGCACGAAGCATACAAGGGGCCATTTGCGGGTGAGCGTGATGCCGCCGGGACCACTGGCGTCCTTGTTGGCGGCCATGGGCTTGAGTTTCTTGCGTGCACGAGCCATGATCTCGTCGTCGCTGTTGTTGCCTGATCCTCCTGCTCCCGAGAATTCGTTCTCGTTGTCGATGTAGTAGTCGAAGGTGGCTTCGTCCATGAATGCCACGACCCGGCCGATGGAGCCGTTGACGAGCGTGTCTTCCATATTTTTGATGAGCATGACTTGTGCTCCCTTTTTCAGGTGGATCACTGGCGGTGCCATGCAGTTGGCTAGTAGGCGTTCGCGGAATTGGGGGTCTTGGATGGTGCCGCTGTCGACGGCGTTGAAGGTCATTGTTTCGCCGGATAGGCGACTCATTCGGGCGCCGTTGGCGCTTTCGACTTCTTGACGTGTGGGGAACCTGTGGATGGAATAAGTTGGGTGCTTGAGTTTGAAATGGGCCTGGTTATATGGGGGTGCGTGTCAGGCTTACAGTTCAGTGGCCTCGAGGGAGTCATGGAAGTCAAGAGGCCGAGAAAGTTGTTTGAATGTGTCAATCGTTCGTGGTGAGATCTTTCCAAGTCGAAGCTCGTTGAGCATGTCGGCGAATTCGGGGTCTCGTTGACGGAAAATGTGGGTTAGAAGGATGGTGTGTTGTATGGAAGTGTTCCATGTCGCTGCTGCGAATGCGAATTTGGCTTCTCGGTTGCTCCCTTCTGGGACGGGGGGAAGTTGGAAAAAGTCACCGGTGACTACTAGTTGTATGCCTCCGAAAGGACGACCGTTGTTCCTAATGCGACGTGCGATTTCCTCTAGCTTATCGAAGAGATCGCCGTCAACCATGGACACCTCATCGACGATCAGAACCTTGGTGCGCATCCAGCGATTCCGGGCTTTCTGGTTCTTCTTAATCTATAGATAGTTAGCACATGTGGATTGGTGTGATCGGTCGACGCCAATGCTGACCTTCTTGACAAGCTCCGGAACAGGTTCTTTCCCCAGTCCAATACCTGCGAAACTGTGGAGAGTTACACCCTCGATATTACAAGCTGCTAGCCCGGTAGATGCTGTCACCGCAACCCTGTCTGGCTCTTTCTTGTATTTATCTCTCAGTTTCTTAATGATCTCCCTCATAAGCACCGACTTGCCAGTTCCCGCAGATCCTGTAAAGAAGATACTCTTCCCTTGCTGTACAACCGCATCCAAGACATGGCGTTGCTCATCGCTGAGGAATATCGAAGCTACCTTCGTGCGGGGGTTGTGCATTTGGCCGCCTGCTTGTGCCTTCATAGTCTTGTTCTGCCGACGCAGTTCCCTTTGCTCATCCTTGATCGCGCTAGCTGACTTGTTCCAGGGAGCCGTCTGTTTCGGCCGCATAGGCGTTTGCGGCTTCAAAGATGGGGGCTCTGGTTCTGGTTCCGGCTCGTCTTTCAGCCATGGTAAAGTTCGAGGCTTCCTGGTCGGTGGTTGGAAGTGGGAGGGGGGCGAAGAAGACCATGGAATTTGTATGCTGCTGGATGGCGGGACACTCTCATCTGGAACCGGGGGTAAATCAGGATACTTGACCTCCGCCGCCGCTTTGCTGGGTGAAGTCAAGTCGACTATTGATATTTCTTCGTCTTGCGCAGGTATGCCATGGAGGGACGGGTACTTGGGCGGTTCAGGTTTCGGGACGCTCGGTCTGGATATGGGGGCCGGGGGAATGAATGGATCGGGTTCCTCAAAGTCCAGGTCGTCATCGTCGTCAAAGTCATTTTCGTCGAAGTAGACACCGTCGTGGAGGGACCCCAGATTAGACTCTCGCACGGTAGCCATCTCAATCTTGCGCTTGACCCCTGCGGACGGCGGCGGGGGTCTCATTGAAGCATTCCCATTGTTGCTGCGCGTAAGCGTGGATTGTAGCGGAGTCGCCGACGCTACTGAATGTTCCTTGACGGCTTTCTTGAACATCACAGCTTCCTCTCCAACCGGCGAAGTTCGCGATGCGGAGTATCTAGTAGAGGCCGTTGGCGATTTTATAACTGGACCATTTGAAAGGAATTGGCGGAGGATACCTGGGGTCGACGCGCGATGTCTGGAAAGGTACATATACTTGAATTCAGGGTAAGTTGGAGATGCAGCACTTGCCTGCCCTGATCAATCTATTGATGAAACTAATTCAATTATCCACCGGCGCGTTTTGGCGATACGCGCCGCGCCACTACTTATCGCTCACGTGATTCCGATAAGGGCTGGCTTATGAATGCCCTTTGCACGTGCAATTGTCTACCGTCTATAGAATACTGCCTCTACTTTAGAAGATGTCATTGTGCTCAGCCTGTAATATGATAATAGCAGGATTGCAGGTCATAATGAACTAGTAACATCGTAAATGCAGGATAACTTCGATATTCGATATATTGGACTGCCATTCCCCCCTCCCTCCTCCGTTGGACGCCCTTCCCTTCTTCTTTAGTTATTCAAGAGACTAACTAACTCGAACAGCTTCATGATGATCCCCATCAATCCAAGTCCCCTTTCGGAACTACATTGGTAACATCACCCTGTTGTCTTGGCTTCCTCGCCTTAAAGAGCATGACCTGACCCATAACCCACGACTCCACCTCTTCAAAGTTCCGACGAAGTCCCTCATCAAACTGAGCCTTGTTGTCCTCCGAGTTATGGAACGACTTTGTGTTGTTATTATAGCTGTTCATCATCTTCTGTCCCAGCCAGTTGATTGGTACACCCTGACCAAGGACTGTCGTCCCCACAAAAACGCCGTCCTCCGCCAGATGCGGCCGCACCACATCGAAAAGCTTGCACTTTTCTTCAGGTGTACCCGGAATGCAATGCAACAGGAAGAAGACACTAATCGAGTTGAACTTCTTGGACTTGTCGAAGGGCAGTGGCTCCAGGGCCGAGGCCACGACGGTATTCACGCGGACCGCCTCGCGGCCTACCGTTTCCAGGATACGCTGCTCGGCAGCCTGGAGCGAGTTGGGACTGAGGTCCAGGAGGGTAATCTCATTGCATTTGGCACCGGCTTTTAGGCTCTTTGCTGGATAGTAACCTGTGCCGACGCCAATATCTAGGTGACTCTGGCCCATGGCGGCATTGAATAATGGGAGTTGGACGGTTGAGGTTGGGCATTTCCATGCAAAGTTATTGGAAACCCAGAGGACCCAGAAATCGTAGAAGTAGCGGAGAAGAAAGGGAGTATAGACTGCAATCCCTTCTTCCAAGGTTGAAGGGGTCTTTGGTGAAGCTGTCATGGCTGATTTGGGGTGGATGTGAGAGTGAGAGTGTTTGTGTGTATCCCTTTTCTTTTCTTTTCTTTTCTTTTCTTTTCTTTTCTTTTCTTTTGTTCAGTCTTTGCTCTTGAAATCGAGGGCAACAAGATAACTATGGGACGGAAATGGGCGCCCCTGGCGGTAATGAAAAGAATGTGTGAAGGGCTGGATACCAAAATGCCACTAGAACTATCATGCAGTCTCACCCGCTCGCGCAGGTCATGTCTTATCCATCGAATGACAGCACTCAAACAGCTTTTACGTTCCATATTGTTCTATCATGTTGTCTTTGATTCGTATACTGCCTGGCAGGAATGTTCACTGTCTTGTCTTCCTGTCATTCCCCCTTCCCTTGCCTACATTGTTTCCTATGAGCACTTTATTAGATGGATCTTCGGCCAATGGTAGACCACTCCATGGGAATACCTTGCTGGAAAACGGTCTCATTTGTTCTACTTCGTTATCTTTGTTTAGTATACTTATTGTCTAACTGGAAGTTTAACTGTCTTATCCTCCTGTCATTCCCCCCTCCCTTGCCTACATTGTTTCCTATGAGCGCTTTATTTGATGGCTCTTCGACCAATGGCAGAACGCTCTATGAGAATGCCTTGCTGGAAAACGGTCTCATTTGATAAATAAAAGCCATCTTATAGTCACTTGCCGAGGTACCGAACTGATAACCCTTACAGTAGTTGCAAGTCTCTCCAGTAGTCCGTGATAAGGCCAGACGCTAAGCAATAGAACAATAGAACTCCCTTGCTTGTACCCTAACCGTCAGTTATGCACCTTAAGCACTCTGGGCAATTTTAGGCAATGATAGGCTTCTACTCCTGAGCAGAATTGCCTCAGTTGTGTCTAGATATCAGTGATCACGACATCATTGACTGAGCAGCAACAGTTTTCCGGTATGACAGAGTGGCCAGCCTACGAACCCATAGGAATGACGCGTATTAGAATGTGCAGGGAAGTGATACCGCATACACACACCGCAAGTTCTGCCTTGATAGCAGTATATACCAGCTTGTGATATACGGGCCTGGTGAGTGTGCTGCCACCCATTCCTGCCCTAGTATTAGTCAGTATACTTTACCGGCCTTATTCTATATATCGTATTTCTTTCTTTGTCCTCGTTTTTCGAGATTCACCTGCTGCTGAGATCCTTTCCTTCCTCAAGATCAGTTCAGAAGAGGATACTGAAGAATCAGGAAGTGACGACAGCCATGGTACCAGAGAACGAGTTCAACCTCACCGACGACCCATCGAAGCTTGGTCACAATGTCATTTCCCTCTTCAATCAGATCCAGTCCCGATACTCCTCAAAGGCCGCGATAGTCTGCGGGGACCATACCATCACATACGGTGCTCTTGCATCCGAGTCGGATCGCCTGGCCTGCCTGCTTCTATCGCGAAGCATCAGCCGTGGCCATGTGGTGGCTCTTGCACTAGATCGCACACCGGAGCTGATCATTTTCATCCTTGGTGTTCTGAAAGCCGGTGCAGCATATATACCCATTGATCCTACTTTACCGTCCGAGCGTGTCAACCAGATGCTGGATGATGAGGCGCTACGCCTGGTGATAGTTAGCCATGCTAGTACCAAAGGGATGACGGGCACCTGTCGATGTGATTATGGTCATAAAGCAGCCTGCTGCACGACAAGCGAACTGCGAGATCAGATGAGATATCAAGCGGACAAGAAGCCAGCCGTAGATGTCCAAGGAGATGACCTCGCCTATATCCTCTACACATCCGGCTCCACGGGCAAGCCTAAGGGCGTGGAAGTTCATCACGCCGCCATATGCAACTATGCGCTGTCGGTACACCAGAGACTTGGCCGTACTGACCAGGACCGCGTGCTGTTCAGGAGCACCATTTCCTTTGATATGGCCGCGATTGAGATCTACGTGCCATTACTGTGCGGCGCCACGGTCGTGCAGGCACAGACATACGAGATCCGGGACCCACACGCGCTGATACATCTCATTAATCACCATGCCGTCACCTTCGCCGTGATGACGCCGACCATCTTACAGATGCTGCTGGACAGCGGTTGGTGTGGCACGCCGGGCTTCTCTAGGCTGTACACCGGTGGCGAGCCACTGTCACCTCGCCTGGCAGAGCGCCTTACCGCTTGTGTTGAGGAAGTATGGAACATATACGGACCGACTGAGACAACAATGAGCGTGACTGCTTGGAAAGTCCAAGTCGGCGAGGACATCTTAATCGGAACGCCCAACGCAAACATACGACTATATGTCCTCGACGCCGACATGCAACCTGTGCCAGTTGGCGGCACCGGCGAACTGTATATTAGCGGAGCAGGGGTTGCTCGTGGATATCGGAACAATCCAGAACGCACCAAGGCTGCGTTTCTGCCGGACCCTTTCTGGGAAGGGCATACCATGTACAAGTCTGGAGACTTAGCATGCTTCTTGGACCCCAAGAGACTGGCCATCATCGGTCGTGCAGACACACAAATCAAGATTCGCGGGCAAAGAATTGATCCTGGTGATGTTGAGGCGTCAATCACAGCCCACGCGGCTATTGCCAATGCCGTTGTGATTAATCGAGACGAGCGACTCGTGGCTTATTGCATACGAAAGCCGGTTGTTGGCAGCGATGATGTTCCTCTTGCCAAGTTGCTACGCCCCTGGCTAGAAAGCCGCCTCCCCGGATACATGGTCCCCTCGTTCTTCGTCGAAGTCGACAAATTTCCTTGTACTCTCAACGGCAAAGTGGACCTCAGAGCACTACCGGATCCGATCTCGACTGTCACAGTGGCACAAAAACCCGCTACCACACTAACAGAACAGCTGCTGGCTATATGGACCGATGTACTGGGTCACAGTCAGGTTGGCATGCAGGACAACTTCTTCCACGTCGGCGGTAACTCTGCTAGTATCATTCGGGTCCAAATGAAGCTGGAGAAGCTTCTGGGTCGGAAAGTGCCGGTGTCAAAACTGTATGAGCACTTCACCATTGCCAACCTTGCTGCATCTCTTTCTGGTCAACCCAATACCAATGGAGTCGCGAAAGAGACGCAGAACTCCGTTGGGAACGATACTACTGGTGAAGATATTGCTGTCATTTCCATGGCGTGCAGACTGCCCGGCGATATCCACACGCCGGAAGAGTTTTGGAAGGTTCTCATCAGCGGCACCGACGCCGTTACCAAGGTTCCTGAGGAGCGCTGGGATGCCGATGCCATCTACGATCCTGATCCAGAGGCCCCCGGCAAGTCCTACAGCATGGGTGGTGGCTTCGTCAGGGACGCCATGGAGTTTGACGCGCAATTTTTTGGGATATCCCCTCGCGAGGCCCGGGCTATCGACCCGGCGCAGACCATGATCCTGGAGACCTGCTGGGAGGGCTTCGAACGGGCAGGCTATGGCACTAAGTCCTTGCGCGGCAGCCAGACTGGTGTCTTCATCGGCAGCGGTAACAGTTCTGTGGATGACGGTCTGCTAAGCGCCGCCGGCACAGAAAAGCTTGGAGGACATCTAGGTCTCGGCACGGCGCCGAGTTCGCTCTCTGGTCGCGTGGCATATGCCCTGGGGCTCCAGGGTCCTACTATGACCTTGGATGCTGGGTGCGCTGCCTCGCTGGTCGCCACGCATGTGGCATGCACCGCACTTCGCCTGGGCGAGTGTGACATGGCTGTGGCTGGTGGTGTCACATTTTTGCCCTCCCCTGGCTTGCATGTAGAGTTTAGCCGGCTTCGCGTTACATCACCAGATGGTCGTTCGCGACCATTTTCAGCGGACGCGGCTGGGATGGGACTGGGTGAAGGTGCCTCGGCTGTGATTTTGAAACGTCTCTCTGATGCGCAGCGTGACAACGATCATATCCACGCTATAATTCGCGGTTCGGCAGTCAACCACGGCGGCCGTGGCGCTAACATGACAGCACCGAGTGGACCAGGCCAGGAGCGTGTTATCCGCGCAGCTCTGGCGGCAGCGCGCTTGAAGCCGTATGATATTGACTATGTTGAAGCGCATGGGACTGGCACCAAGCTAGGGGATCCGGTCGAGGCCTCAGCTTTGGCAGAAGTATTCAGCAGCAGTCGGGATGATACCATTGGACCACTGAAGATTGGTTCCACGAAGGCCAATATCGCGCACACGCAGGCAGCCGCCGGCGTTGCAGGCCTTATCAAGGTAGCTCTGGCGATGGAACACAACATGCTGCCACAGACACTGCATAGCAGTCGGCCCAGCCCTTTGATCGACTGGGTTGGTGGCAAGTTGCAACTTTCCCAACGGCCAATGGCATGGCTACCCAGAACAAACAGCCCGACTACTCCGCGACGAGCAGGGGTAAACTCATTCGGAATAGCGGGAACTAACGCGCATGCTATAATTGAAGAGCCTCCAAGGGTTCACTCAGAGTCTAATGGCGACATTAATGATGATGATGATGATGATGCCAGGTCGCCTTTGCCGCTACCGTTCCTCCTTTCCGCGTATACAAGTGAAGCGCTACGGGGGCAAGCGAGAAAACTTCGCGATCACATCTCCAGTTCTACTGCCAAAATCAAGCTGTCTGATGTATCATACTCATTGGCAACTACTCGCACACATTTCCCACGACGCATCGTTCTTGCGGCACAAGACAAGACTGAACTGCTGAGCAGCCTAGCAAGCATTATCGACAACGGAGTACCAGCAACTGCTGACAACAGCAAGTCAGCTCGCGTGGCGATGTTGTTTTCCGGACAGGGCACTGAACGGAACAGGATGGGCAAGGCTCTTGCTGAACGTCACCATGTGTTCCGCAACACCATCACTCACATCGCAAGCCTGTTCGAGGCAGTTCTAGACAAGCCTCTGTTGGATGTTATGTGGGCAGATCCGGAGAGCGAGGCCGCCTCTTTGCTCCTGCGTACGGATTATGCGCAACCAGCTCTCTTTGCCCTCCAGGTAGCACTGTGGAGACTGTGGCAGAGCTGGGGGGTCCAGCCAGCAGTTGTGTTGGGCCATAGCGTTGGTGAGATTGCGGCCGCGCACGTCGCCGGAGCTATGAATCTGGCGGACGCTTGCCGCTTGGTCGCGGCACGAGGGAAGTTGATGCACGCGCTGCCTGAAAGTGGTGGTATGGTGGCACTTGAAGCCGGCGTAGACGAGGTCACTTCAGCCATCGAGCAGCTCAGTGCCCGGGACAGTGTGTCGATTGCCAGTATCAATACCCCGACACAAGTGGTAGCATCTGGGGATATGGGTGTCATCAACAAGTTGGTAACCCGCTTCAAGACTCAGGGCCGGTCTTGTAAGGTCCTCAGAACTAGTCGCGCATTTCATTCGCATCACCTGAATGAAAGCATGCTTTCCTCGTTACGCGCCGTCGCCAAAACGATTGTGTTCCAGCAGCAAACGCTGCCTATTGTTAGCACAGTTACGGGCAAACTGGCAGAGCCAGGGCAACTTAGTAACGCGGATTACTGGGTCCGACAAGCTCGCAATCCAGTCCTGTTCGCTGAAGGCATGCAGACCCTCGCCGACCAAGGTGCGAATTGCTTTGTTGAATTAGGCCCAGCAGCGACACTGTGTGGTATAGGAGCCTCATGTCTCGATGACGACAGCACTCAGACGAGCAAAATGGCCGACCGCGAAGGCGGAGGAAACTTGGCTTGGCTGCCCTCGTTGAAACCCAAGAGCGACGACGCTCTGGTAATCCAGAATAGCCTCTCCGACCTGCACATACGACAAGTAGAGATCGACTGGGCAGCCTTCTTCAAAGACATTGGTGGGCGCCGCATCCAGCTACCTACTTACGCATTTCAGCGACATCAGTATTGGCTGGACGGGTTGCGACCAGTATACAGCGGTAAGCCATCTGGCCAGTCTTCTTCGGGTGGCGCTCAGCCCTCCGGACAAATTCAAATTGGATGGCATGCTATTGATGCGAGTAGCCATTACCCCAATTCAGCTTGGGGTCTACTTTGTCCAGCAAGTGATGCGCCATGGATGGTACCGGTGAAGGAAGCATTGTTGCACGCCGGGAAGCAACCTATTACAGTCAATCAGCTGGCGGAAGCCAAAACTATGAGTGGCGTGCTTTGTTTTTGGGAATCAGAGAATGAGGATGACTTGACATCCAAGGCATCTGAGCAATTGCAGACAGTGTCCAGGATGGGGTTCTCTCCCTGGCTAGTCTGGGTGACGCGTGGTGCTGCTGGAGCCGGAAATATGGGCGAGGCGTCGCTCTGGGGCATGATGCGAAGTGCGCGCGTGAAATACCCTCAACTCTGTCTGCGTATTGTGGATCTGGAGGGTGAAGTGGACATCGCTATAGCCACTAAACTCTGTTCGATCTTGATGATGAGTACCGAACCTGAATGTGTTGTGCTTGGCGAACGAGTGCTCGTCCCACGAATGCAGTTGCAAATGCAAATGCAGGCGCCGGTCCAGGTTCACGTCCAGGAGGTTCAGAAGCATGGTAAGCTGTGCGAAAATGGTCAACAAGAGACGACCAATGGAACCACAGCAGCAGCAGCAGCAGCAGCAGCAGCAAAGTCGAATGGGACGGACAGCTTCACGACCATGATCAGGATGGTTGGCCCCGAGGAGAGGGCAACAATGCTTCAGCGGCTGGTACGGGAAGTAACGGCCAAGATACTTGGTGTGGCGGCCGCAGAGGAAGTAGATATGCACCGGGGGTTCATGGATGTTGGATTGGACTCATTAGGAGCCATTCAAATGCGTAAAGAGCTCTCAGCACGGACTGGGTTGAAGTTGCCACCTAACTGGACGAGAGTGTATCCGGATCCTACCTCACTGTCCGATGCTTTGCATAATCAGGTAGAGGGGATAGTGGCTAGCTGATTGTTGGTAGTAGTAGCATTTTGCTCATTTCGGTCTTAGATTATATAGATACTAGCTAGATTAATGAGAGGTTGTTAACGCTGTCCGACCCTTAATTTATCATGGAGATCAGAATGCTACTTACTGTTAGGATTCCAGCCAGTCCTTGGTACCATCGATGGTGTCGAGGATGTTCTGCTGCATCTTCACAAAAGGAAAGAACCCCCCCCCCTTCTATCACGTGACAGCGTATACTCCTCAAGACGCGCTTCCGCGCGGAGCTCCGATAAAGCGAATCTTCAGATCGGCGCACCGGTCCCAGGCTGATTTTTGCCAATCATGAAGCATGGCAGAGAAAGCAACCTCGAGTCAGTACTCAATTCATCTTTTTAGATAGCAAGATACAGACTAACTCCACTCCAGACAAGGAGCATCCTCTTGCGGGGGTGGTCCTCTGCTTTACCTCCATCTTACCAGAGCAGCGGGTATGCTAAACGCCCTCTGATGCTTGTACCTCTTCCTACTATAGTAATTCAAGGAATGCAGCACAATACTGATGGCTATGTGTCGCGTCTAGTCTGAACTCGCTATCGTCGCAAGTCAGATGGGAGCAACCCACAAATTTGACCTTACCTCCGACGTCACGCATCTGCTTATCGGCGAAGTCAATACTCCGAAGTACAAGTTCGTCGCGCGCGAGCGTACCGACATAACAGTCCTGAAACCGGAATGGGTTGAAGCTGTTCGCCAGTCATGGATGCAGGGAGGCGATACAGACATTCGGGCTCTGGAAGAAAAGTACAGATTCCCGACGTTTGCTGGGCTATCTATCTGCATAACGGGCTTTGAGGATAGTGAGTAGGGAATACCAAACATAGAGCGCACTGGAAGACTCGTCTAATGCATATGCTATAGTGTCGCTGCGAAATCGTATCCAGGATACCGTCACTGCGCACGGGGCCGAGTTCCGAAAAGACCTCACCAAGAACGTCACTCATCTTATCGCCAGGAATACGGAGGGTGAGAAATACAAATTCGCAACGCAGTGGGGTATCAAAATTGTCACAGTGAAGTGGTTCGAGGATAGTCTTGAGCGTGGCATGGTACTGGAAGAAACTCTCTATCACCCTCTTCTACCCGATGAGCAACAGGGCGCTGGTGCCTGGAACCGATCGCTGCCTACTCCGAAACCAAAAGTCACTAATAACGAAAACCCCTCAAATCCAAGACCGAGAAAGCTTCGGAGGATTGCAAGTGCTAAGCTGGGAGACCAGAATGAAGGCATCTGGGGTGATATCGTTGGTACGGGTTTCGACAGCAGCGATCCGAGGCCGTCTAGAGAAAGTCTGCAGAGGACTCAGTCTTTGACAAAGAGGCCCTCTATTTTGCAGGAGTCGCGCTCATTTGCGAGCGAGACTACCTTTGCAGAACCGCAGGAGCCCCTTCAACCGCCCCCGCCCCCTCCACCAGCAGCAGAGCGTCGCGAGGGTTTTCTAGGTGATTGTTTCTTTTTCATCCATGGCTTCTCCTCTAAACAGGTCGGTCTGCATACCCTTACGCTTTCTCCCACCTTCTAACCTTTCAAGACCAACGTATTGCGAGATCACCTTTCCTTCAATGGCGCAGAGCTGGTGAGCTCCTTGAGCGAGTTCTCTAGACCAGACATACCCAAAAGGGGCCATGGCCTCTATACCATCGTGCCCTACAAGATGCCCCGCGCACAGGTCCCATCCACGGATGACTTGGCCTTCGAATGCGAAGTGGTAACCGACATGTGGCTGGAAAGATGTCTCGATGCGAAGACGCTGGTACCGCCAGAATCCCACACAGCGAATACACCGATCCCTTCTTTCCCCCTCAAAGGTAGAATCCCAATCAGCTCCCGATGGACGTTTAGCTGACAATCCCAGGATTCGCGGGAATGAAGGTTTGCTCGACTGGATTCTCCCGAATCGACCTTCTCCATCTATCGAAGCTCGTCCACCTCGTTGGTGAGTTACTCTAAGCAGCTTGATGAACTTGTCTAACCCTCCAGGTGCCACCTACCACGAGTACTTGACGCCCAGCGCCTCCATCCTCATATGCAACGACGCTGGCCCGGTGAACCCGGAGAAGCTGCGACATACCCAAGAATGGGGCGTCCCCGCCGTCTCTGCAGACTGGCTCTGGTCCTCCATCCGCAACGAACAGAAACAACCAGTCGACCAATACCTAATCCAAAAGCATTCCACACAAAGCAGAAAGTCTCTGGAACCGCGAGCCGGTTCTCGCCCAGAGCAGAAGCAACCCCCCAATAGTAACGAGCCTCCACGTTCCAGACACGGGCATGAGCACGAGAAACAAAAATCAAGCAACGCACAACCACCAGACACATCCTCATCAGACCCTAAGCCCACCACCAAACCACCCCCAGCCCCGATCAGCACAACCAGCACCTCCCCCCTCAAGCGCAAACCCACCGACCAACACCCCTCAAGCACACCCACAACCACCCAATCCGCCCTCAACCAAGCCGTAACCAGCCTCCTCAAAAACGCCCGACCAGCCCAACCTTCCGAACCCAGCACCGGCTCGGACGACCGCCAACGACCTCAACGAGGCCGAAGACCGCTGCTGGGCCGGGCCCCCTCCTCCCTGGACCACCCTAAGCACTTCTCCTTCTCCCGCGCGAGCTCAATCGACACCCTGAACGAAGACGGCTGCGGCAGCGCCGTCGAGTCCACCACCACGACCGCCACCAATTCCCGCATCCCCTCGCTGTCTCACACTCACAGCAACCAATACGAGTACCAGTACCCGGAGCGTAACGGGTCCCTCGAAGAAGAGGACGAGAACGAGGCCCCGCCCATGACGCAGCTGGACTACGAGGACCCGGATGCAGTAGCCATGCGGGAGAAATTCCTCCAAAAGGCCGGGAAGGTAGTCGAGAAGAAGAAGTCGAATGATGTGATTGCGGAGGGGAGACTTGTTCCTGGTTTGGAGAATGGTGCGTGGGGGACGGCGAGGAGGACAAGGCATACGAATCGCGCGTTGGATAATCTTTAATTAAACTATGATCTCTGCTGGATTGGCGTGTGAGTTCTGTTGGGTAGATAGATTTATATATGGATGTGCGAGTTTTGTCCACAAAGGATAGAAAAGAAATTAACCGGTGACGGGTTAATTATCTACCTTTGGTTTGTTTGGACACTCAGAGGTCCATTCTGTTCTGCTGTTAAGTGCATGCATAGCATAGCATGGCGTCTCTGTCCTGAATGAATACCTACTACTAGCGACTAGGGCAAGTCATGCTTGGTTTTAGTTCCATAATGCTTTGGTGTACCTTCTTCTGCTATATGATATCAGTTCTCGGTTCCCTAAATTTGCATCATCATCATCATCGAAACAATGCTACCAGATCTGACAATCGTGCTAGGACATTACTTCTTAGAAGAATTGAAAGGAACAAAGCATAATAATAAAGGCACAGCCTCAATCTAGTTAATACCTTTGCTAAAAAACCACGAACACTAAAAACCATAAGCAGAAACTATGGTAGGTAGTACTAGGTAGGTATGCAATTAAGCTCTAAGACGCCAATCAACGGTGGTGATACGCCAGAAACTGAAAATCCTTAAGGTAATCATCATCATCCATAAGCTGACGATAACAATCATCAACCAGCCCTATCCTGCAAGGGGATGGGGTAATGATGCAGATAAAAATAAGGAAAAGGGGTGAAGGGGAGGTGAATGTACATACACGAGGGGGATATTTTGAGTGGTAAAGTAGACGAGGAAGAGAGAAGTAAGGAAAAGTGCCAGCCACGGCTAACACTTCTCTTGAACAGAGAGGGAATAGCAGTAGCAAGTTCGTACAGCATCATTATGTTATGTTTTGTACAGTTGTAAAAGATGATGGGGGATGATAAAAAGAAAATGAGAGTAGAAGTCAAGAGTTGGTATCTAAGCATGGGCTGCCAGGCCACCAGGTAAGGGAGCATCGAGATCGATGTTTTCGACTGAGGTGCGGTTCTCGCCGCTCTCGCGGAACAAGTTCGTAAAGTACTTGCAGGCGGCGTCGCTTTCCTGCTTGGTCTTGCTGACTTCGTGCTTGCGGCGGCCGAGATCTTCGATGTCCTGCGCCAGGCTTGTTTGCAGGTTTCCGGCGGGAAGGCGCAGAATGCGGCGGACTTCGGAGGAGATGCGCGTCGCGTTGGAGTGAACGTAGTCCATCTCCGAGAGGGTGGCGGCGAGCTTGCGTGAGAGACGAGGGGGAAGGGTCGTTGGGATGGACGAGACCATGTAGGCGGCTGTCAAGGCGGCTGAATTAGTCGGTTAGTGAACAGTTCAAGACAGTGACTTATAGGGTAGGACTCACCGATTGCCATGACACCAGGAATGAACAGGCGGCGCATATTGTTCGGTCCGAGGAACTTGACTGCGCTAAACACACTGTCGATCCAGCTGATTCCGCCAAAGGCACGGCCTGTAAGAACAGTCAAGGCGGTCATGGCCATTCCTGTGCCGGCCACCTTCTCTTGACGCTCCCAAATGCCCGAGACGTCGAAGAAGTCCCAAAGTTCCACTTCCGTGTGCACTTGTCTAGCGAGAGTGTGACGACGACCGCGACGGAACATCATGTCTGCACGGAAGTTCAAGGGCGCAAACTTGTCCTCGCCAACATGGAGGAGACCGATGTTTTGGATGAACCCGACGCCCTTTACCGTCTTTTCACGAGCGTAGTCCTCGCAGCCAGTTACAGCCGAAGCAATCTGCTCCAACATGGCCACCTTCAGGTCTTCAGCATATTGGAATGCGGAGAGGAAACCCGGGTATTCGACGCCCAGATCAGCCTCCGAAACACGGGCGATGGTTTCACCCAGAGTAGACCGGGTGTGGTTGTAGACATCGTCGCAAGACTTGTCGACAAGCTTCTCGACCTGGTCACCAATCTCAACCTTCTTCTTCTTACCATCTTCGTACGCCGGCTCAAGCTCCGCCAGCTCATCCGTGACGCGCTTAAGCTCAGTCTCAGCAACATCACGGTTCACCGAGGCCAACGAGTTGAGGTCAGCAAGCAGGTTCAAGAGGTAGGTCCTGGCAGGAGCAAGCTTCGAACGAGAGCGCTTTTCAAGAACGAAGCGGCGCAAGGAGCCCTCCAGGTTCTCAAAGTCTTGAATCTTCTCCCTCTCCTTGCCCTTTCCTTTATCCTTCTTGCCGGAAGGCTTATCGTCATCATCATCATCAGAGTCATCGCCATCACCACCACCAGAACCGGAGCTCACCACCGAAACCGGAGGCGCTACCGGGATAGCGTTACTCGAGACGAAGTGCACCAGTTCAGCCGCCTCCTTGTACGTGCGGGGACTGAGCTTGCCAATCTGGTCCAAGATCATCCGCTCACAGCGCTGCTTGTCGCGAATCTGGTCGAAGCCGTTGACAACAATGAACATGTAAGCTTTCTCATGGGCAGCATTAAGAATGAACTCCTTTGCAGAGAGTGTGAAATGGTTTGCAGCGGAAACCACAAAAACGACCACATCAATCTCCTCCTGCCGAGCAAAGACCGCCGTCGTCTTCAGCGAGTCCGAGTTCAGACCAGGCGCATCAATCAGAGCAATATCCACTACTCCGTTATTGAGAAGAGATTCGTCAATCGTCCGCACATCCTTCACGTAGACCTTGCACTGCATGTACTTGGAGTTGTCGATAACAATGTTCTCCAGCTCCTGAAGCGCATACACATCGTAGGTACTCTCATCGTTACGGTTGTAAAGCACATCCTTGTGCACAGCATGAACCTCCTCAACACCGCTGTTCTCGCGTGCATCCAGAACCTCACAGAAGATGCTCGTGCATGGCTGCTGATCCTCGGGGAGAACCTTGCGCCGCAACAGCGCATTACAGAACGTCGACTTTCCAGCGTTCAAATCACCCGTAATCAGAACCTTACTCGACGTATCCTCAATCCGATCCCGCAGCGACAACAGATGCTTGATACTCTGGCTGATCTTGCCATCCAACAGCGACGCAATCGACGCTTTCTCCAGCGAGTGCACCAGCTCCGCCTGGGACAGCGCACCCAGCTTCAAATCCAGCTTGAGAATTGAGAACTCCTGCGCGATTTGGGGGCTCATCAGCCTCGGTTCCGACGGGACACGACGTTCCGCCGCAGCGCTGGATTCAGCCAAATCCTCGCCACCGGTCATCGTGGCAGCACGTCTGACCATTCCGGGACGGGGGAGATCTTCCGATTCGGTGCTTGCATCTCCGAAAAACGACTGTCTCTTCTGCAAGGCGGGCTTTGGCGCAGGGGAACCAGGAGCGCTCTGGGAGGAGGGATAATGCGCAGGCCATTGGCGGTTCATGTTCTGGAGTTCTTTGAGGGTTTCGATAGTGCGCGAGATAGCACGCGCGAGCTTAGTGCGGTTCGAGTTGCTGTAGATTCGAAGAGCAGACTGGTTAGTGTCTGCACATCCCATAGAAGGGGCAAAAAAAAAAAAAGAGTGATAACCACATACTATAATAATTGATGAACATGGCTCGCAACAACATGTCTCTCATGCTCCACTGTATAACCCGCACGTCAGTCCCTTTCCCACATAAACTATATCCGTATCAGTCCGGGGGACAAAAACGAACCGGCAGGATTCCACTCTCCCAGATGCGTAGGGGTATGCATGGGGGTCGGGCGATCGACCATCAAATCGGCCCTCCAGTCGCCACCAGCATCACCTTCCATCACACTTCCACTGGGAATACTGCCTCCGTAGCCGGAATCCTCATGCAGGGAAGCCATCAAGGCGGTCGCGCTCTCGGAGGTTGAACCATTGCCGACGGTCATGTATGCAGGCGGGGGTCTCGGAAACATAGTAGAAGTACTAGTGCTGGGAAGGCGTTCCTCCTCCGTCGGCGGCGGAGGATAGGCGTGAGTGGGCGAGGAGGACGAAGGTGAGGATGAACCCTCGCCGGCAGAGGAGGCGCCCTGACCGGGGAAATACTCCTGACTCATGGCGACCGACAGGGAAAGTATGAGGGGAGTTGATAGGGATGGAAAGCCATCAATCGGTGACGCGAAGATGGAAAGAAACGAAAGATTCCCTGGAAAAGCCCAAAGGGGTTTGGTCTGGTTTTCTGCATGTGACACCGTTTTATTACCGGAGTAAATTAGAGTATGTAATTAATTGGTATGGTATGGTACGGTTACCTTGATGTCACTTCAACTAAAGAAGTAGCCTGACATCCTATCCTATCTTCATTCCTCATCGCTACTTTGTTATCGTTTCATGATATCTAGCCCTCCTTCGCTTCCTCCTTCGCCCACAAGCTGCATGTTATTCCTATCCTGCCGAAATAGCAATCACCATTGAACTCTCTATCCCGACTCTTAATCACCCCCACCATGAACGTACGTCCGTCCCTATCTATCTGATCTATCCACCTAACCTTTCCCCTTCCCCGCATCGCCCCAAACTCAACCCAAACAAAATAAACTAACAACCACCCCCCAACTAGATCGTCGAATGGGCCTTCGGCAAGCGCATGACGCCCGCCGAGCGTCTGCGCAAACATCAACGAGCGCTCGACCGAACCCAGCGCGAACTGGATCGCGAACGAGTCAAGCTTGAGAACCAGGAGAAGAAGCTAGTCCAGGATATTAAGAAGAGCGCGAAGAATGGACAGATTGGTGCTTGTAAGATCCAGGCGAAGGATCTGGTGAGGACGAGGAGGTGGGTGCCCCCCAATCCCTTGTCTCTTATCCCGAAGGCCGTGGTGGGCCAGTATGCTAATGAATGACGCGGGAAACAGGTATGTCCAGAAATTCTACCAGATGCGGACACAGTTACAGGCCATTTCGCTGCGGATTCAGGTACGATATCCCTTCTTTCCATCTTACGCAAAGGAACCATAGCTTACAAGACGGATCGATGAATAGACGGTACGGAGCAACGAACAAATGATGCAATCCATGAAAGGCGCAACGATGTTACTAGGCAGCATGAACCGACAGATGAATCTCCCCGCATTGCAACGAATCGCAATGGAGTTTGAGCGAGAGAACGA